CTACGAGACTTTCTGAGGACACAGAAAAATGAATGAAAGACTGCCAATGCAAATGGACAGTTTGAAATTTCCTGCTTCACTGAGAAGCCTTCCAGACACACTGTGGCCTATGGGCTGAAAATGGATGTCTGTCCAGGCAGTAAAATGTCTCTGTCAATTCTAGTGTTTATATATTATCCTTCTGTGGTCTTTGATAGAGTTTAAGGCAGATAGTTGTAATTATAGTTTTCCTTAGTTATGATAAAAGATAAGCTACATATAGAACTTTGGACTCACAAGGATGGGATGGATGATATTTTCTTTAAATCTTGCTGAATGTTAATAGACAAAATATTATAACTATGTTCTTACTTAATAACTGTTCTGTTATATATAATTTGACTATGTTAAAGTTAAGACCTTTCTTTTCTTTAGACAGAAAAGAGGAGATGATGGAGGTAGTCTTGTGTATATGTCAATAAAGCACTGTTGGCCAATAGGGAACCAAGATAGGTGGAACTAGGAATCCAGGAGGACTCTGGGTAGGAGAAACAAAGGAGTCGAGATGTAACGCCATGGGGTAGGAAGCCCGGAAACTTCTCCGATAAAAGAAATACTTAGATTTACAATTATGGGGTAATTACTTAAGTCAGAGCTAGCCAGTAAGAAGCAAGCAAGGCCAACAGCTTCATAATTAATATAGCCTCCTGTGTGTTTATTTGGGACTGATGTGGCTCTGGAACCAGGTTGGCGGGAAAGCCTCCCTTTACAACATGGTCTGCAAACCTAGGTTCAGGGGCCCTGAGACCCTGAGCTAAAAAAGGACACTATTATGGCAGAAACACCCTTGAGTGAGAGAGAAATTCAAGGGAATCTGAGCTAGGTAGAGTCTGTGAGAGGGACAGGGCAAGAGCAAGAAAGACTAAGACCCAAAAGACCAAAAACACCTAGAACAAAGTCTTGCAGAAATGACAGACAGTGGGGACATCTCCATCAGCTCCTGACACCAGGGGTGACAGTGCTTAGAACTTCTCTAGTGTCTGTAGAAAGGACTTTGGTCCTTCAACAGTAAAGGGTTTTTGATGGGGTCTAGAAGGTAAGTGCCAGGAGAGAATAGTCCTCTTGGTAATTCACTCTAGGCCACCTCTGTGAGCCCAGAGGATGTCAGACCTGCCTTCTGCCTGGCTTCCTGATGCTGGATAGGGTGAGGGATTGACTCTTCAGAAGACTATTGGGGCTCTCCTGAACCCTGATTTTCTCCCACAGTTGGGGGCCAGGCTATCATGTATGCCAGATAGTTCCAACCGTGATCCAGACTAGACTTTAGAGTCTTAGCCACTGCCCATGGAAACAGAGCACACAAGGGGCCTCCAGGACATTTAACATAACCCACCCCTGTTAATCAACTCTTCTACTCCCTATTCATTCTACCCAATATCAGTGGGCTCAGTGCCTCAGGAAAGAGCTTTTCAGAAATATGGCACAGAGCTGGCAACAAAAATGATCTTCACCTGAAGAGAAGTCTGGATCTTTTATCACCTACTCATGGACCTCTCTCTGCATTCTATGCATCATCCATCAAACCAGGAATTCCTAGGATTCTGTGTTTTGACAAAGACTGCCCTAGATTTAGGTATGAAAGCCGCACCTCTCTGGAAACCCTGTAGTTCCAAGGACTTCGGACTCACACGGCAAGTTCCTCGCTTGCCATCCACGCCTGAGGGGACCACCTCCAATCACAGAACAGGCCCACATTCGTTTGCTCCGTGGGACTCCTAGAAGAGCTCTGAGGGTACCTACCATGTTTTCATCCTCTCTTTCTCACTCCAGGCTGCCCCAGTTCTGCTTAGATTTCAGAAATTGGCTCACTGTGTCCTGTCCTTGGAACTTTCTTTGTCCTTCCTGGCAGGTAGGACATCTGGCAGGTGTCCACCTTCATCCCAGGAAGGGAAGAACCATGCCTGTCCTATTGCCATGGAGAGGGCCATCTCCCTAGTTATATGGGCATCCATGGCCATAGATCAGTGGGAAGCTGTGACTATCATTCCAGCACGGTCACCATTCATCCAGTGTTTCCTACACAGAAGCACTGCCCATCAATGCTTATCGAGATTGGTGTGCAGGGGAGCTATGCCCAGAATCTGCTTCATGTGGAGGTGCACACCCATGGTGTCATTTACTCAGGAGTCACAGACAGGTTTAACACTTGAACTTTAAGATCATCCCAGGCCTGTGTCAAAATATTCACGAAAGAAACTTGGTGTTCATTTAAAATGTTTCTCAATTTATTATGTTCCTTCCATAGTCTTGTGATGTATTTCAGCTGGTAGAGTGTTTACGTAGCGTACATATGACCCTGAGATCCATCCTCAGCACTCACATAAATAGGGCACAGTGCTGCCTGCCTGTAATTGAAGGGCATGACAGGCAAAGGCTGAAGGATCAGAAGTTCTAGGTCATCCTTGTGACACAGTGAGTACAAGGCAATCCAGAAGTGCATGAGACCCTCCCTCATGAAAACAATGCACTGTGTCTCACATGTGTATCCTAGATTTGAATATTTGCTTATGGGTGAATTTTGGAGTAATGTAGAAGTCAGATAATTAGAGACAGGCGACTGGGGATGAACTCATGAAGGGAGATAGACTTGGTAAAATATAGGTAAAAATAATCAATGTAGAGAGGGGAATGCTTGGACTGGAAAGGCTCAAACATGAACCAGGAAAGTGACAGAGTCAGAAAAGACTTAACTAGAATACAGGGCACATGGAAAACCTATATGGAAACCTACATCTAGAAGCCAAAGTAAAAACAAATATACTTAGAGGGGATAATAGGAAACTGGTGGCATGAAAGAATGGAGGAGAATATTCCATGTTAAAGGTGTAAGTGAGGCCTCGGGCAGGCTGCTAGGAAAGAGTAGGGGTGAAGTGGGTAGGGATGAGTTAATAAAAACCAAAAATGACCAAAGAAGTCTTTTGGCAATCCAGTCATTTAAAGATAATTGAAAATAAAACAAAAATTCCAGCTATATGTCATTTACATGCCATAGATTAAGCAGGAATGAAAAAGTCACAGAAAGAGTTAAGTGAGGTTACTTTATAGGACTAGTCCCTTAAAAGCAAAAGAGTACAATTTTCAACTAGGTCTTAAAGACAATTTCTTAATCTATAGAACCTGTCATTTTAGTACCCATAATGGAACTGAATGAATGAATTGATAAACTGAATGAACCATGTAAGCTGGGAGATAGGGTCTGTAAAAGAAATTGAAAGTGGAGGGGTTTACTGGGTGTGTTCTTTAGGGACATGCTTGGTGAATAATTACAGTGGAAGAAAGTTCTGTGAGCAACCTAGCTACAGTTTAACAACTAAGTGAATCATGCATGGCATCATTACATACACCAGAACATCAGAAGTTACAGTTCCCCAGGCCTGATTCCCACACCTGTCATCTCAGGGTTCTGGAGTGTGAGGTAGGAGTCATATAGAAGGTAGCAAGTTTAGGGGTGCTGACAATTGAACCCAGGGCCTCATGCATGCCATACTCCTAGGCCCTGCAAGAAATTTGAAATTTAGCAAAAAATTTTAATTTTAATATAAATTTTTGTGCAAATTTGAGGTCAGCCTGGACTATTTAGTGAGATCATGTCTAAAGAGTAATGAATCTGCTACACCATGGAAACATGTTAGAAAATGACCAAAAGTATCCTTTGAATTCATCAAAGGGCTTAGATGATAATTTTAGGTGATTAATTCCCTCATGATTTTGACACAGCTCTTCTTAACTTTAACACTGTGCACAGCACAAGGTATTTCCTAACCTTCCTTATTTGGTATTGTTCTCATTTGTTAAAATCCAGTCTGACTTACATTCAGATTTCAGTGGCATTAACAACAGCAATTTCAGACCCAGGATCAGAGCCACCTGGAAGGCATCAATTTCTTGCCTGACACTTTTCAAATTGGTGAGACAAATGTGTCAAATGCCAGTGTCAGATGCCCACAGAGAGCAGATAATCGCCCAAAAACCCCAAAACAAACCAATAACAAATCCAACCAACCAGTCAAACCAGTGTTTCTTTATAGAGCCTAGCCTAGACTTAGGCTCCTAACTCACCTGCCTCAGAGTCTGCTTTGAAAGTCAGTTGATTAACAGACTAGAAAGAAAGATCAGATTAAGGACCTTTGGAGGGAGCCATCCAAGGATCCAGGGATGGAGGAATCATCAGGGACATAGTGTCAGGCTCTGAATCAGTTTGACCAGCATAAGTGTGCAGCCTTAATCAGCTCTACTGTGTGGTAACACCAACAGAGATGTCACACCATGGGACACTCCATCTAACAGGATAATTTTCAGATCTGGGACTCAATGTGGGAATGAGGTAACCCCTCAAAAGACACTGGCTCTTGGATTTGCAAAGATCAAGAATCCCATGTGGGAATTGCTTCGGGTTACAAGCATTTTAGATTTTGGATATTTCTGGATATTTGAATATTTAGAAAGACATAAAAGGTCCTGGGCATTGTAATACTTGGGAAACTGAGGCAGCAGAGATGAAGACTTCCAGGACAGACTGTGTCTCAAAAAACAGTCATACTGAACTGTGCCACTATTCCCATGTTCTATTCCCAATTATCATGATCTGATTTCTCAGACTCCTTTATTTATCATCTTAACTGAGTATGGATCTTAAAGAGGGGAAAAGTCATCCCTGGGCAGTGCTTGGAAAGTGAGCTTTCAACTTCTCACATAAAAAGTGTTCAATGAAGTAGAGAGCTAAATTTCTGGATTTAGAAGGAGGTTGTGTCTAAAGGCTTTCCTTGTGACCCCAGAGAAGGTCCTGGAAATGACACCTTGGTTTTAGGTCACTTTTGGGTGAGGTAGTTAGTAGGGCTGCAATAGCTTGACCATTTGACAGCAGTCCCTACTTGGACATTCTATTGTATCCTGGAGAGCACTGGCATTCTCTGTGATGTCACCAGTGTTGTAGCAACACCAACTGCTTTGGGGGCATTCATTCAGTACCTATATGGTTTTCCCACAGACATGCTGACAAGAGTGATCAGGTTGCTTTGGAGGAGGAATGGAGAGCAAAGAAAGACCAGAGGGAGGCAGGAAGAAGGTAGACATCAACCTCCATGTCACACATTTAAAAAAATGGTTCTGGGGAATGCACAGTGAGTTCTGAGCAAGGGATGGGCAGCTTCCTGAAGAAGGAAGGCTTCATCTGAACCTTTCTAGAGTAGGGCTCAGAAAGGGGTAGTTTGTGGGAAGCAATGGCCCTCTCCTGCTTTTCTCAGTTCCTAAAGAGCAGACCCAGAGGTGAGAATTTCTGATAGTTTGACAGAGATCCAGGAATAGTCAAGGCATCAGCTGCTGTTCTGGGAGAACCTCTGCAATCACTCTGCATGGGAAGGAAGCACAGAGGAACTAAAGTTTTCAGTACCAGTCCTGCACTTCCCCCACACTGAATTTCATTTGGTTGTGATTCACTATTAACATGGAGAGTAAATTGCCTTGGACAAAGCTGGGGTTCTCACATTGAAATCACAACCAAATTCAGGGCAGGACACACCAATTATTGCTGTATGTCAGTGACCCTAAGGTTTACGAATTCCAACCCTCTCACTACCCAGTCATCTAACTCAACCTCGGGATTGAGTCATCATTCTTCCTGCAGGTGTTTGCTCTTGTTGTCTTCAGGCTTACCTGGGGATGCTCAGTCCTTACCTATAAATAGTTGATCATATTTCTGCCAACATAAGAAAGGCTAAAAAGTATTCTGTTGAAGCTTTTGACAAATGTTTCTTCATTATCTATGTGACTTATCATTGCTCTGAAAGGACACCCACAATCCCCAAACACCACATACATTGTAACAGCCCTGTCGATACTCCATGATGTGCTTAATTAATCACTTCAGGGAACTGGTCTTCCTTCCCCGTCACCCTGAGATAATTTCTTAGCATTCTTTATTTCTCATCTTATAAGTCATCTCAAGGACAGGAAGAGCCATTCTTAGGCAGTGATGGGAAGGTAAGTCTTGACCTGCACACAGGATGAACCAGTGAATTAAAATAAACTAGATTCTCAAGAACCAGGAAGACCTCTGGATGAAAAGGAAGAGGTGCTGAAGGGCTTCCCCCATGTCTCAGGGGAGGCTCCTGGAAAAGGCAGCTTGGATTTTGGTGAATTGGGAAGAGCTAGTCACCATATAGGGGATGGCTGTTGGCAGAGATTCTAAAAGTTCCCATGTGTGGACATTCTGTTGTAACCCGGAGATCTCATGGCATCTTGTGTGAAATCAGTAGTGTTGTGGCAATGCCAACTACTTGGGGCATTCATTAAATGCTTATAGGGTTCACAAATAGACATGTTGGCAAGATTGAGTACACTCATTGGTTGAGAGATCTCTGGTTTTCTAAGACGAAAGTGAGGCACAAATTGGATCTTCTAGAAATATGGTTCAGTAGGTGAGATCATTTGAAGCAATGGGACTCAAATCCAGAGTCATGGATTTCTGATGATTAGTTTGGCAGAGAGCCAGGAATGGTCAAGGCTGCAGTTGCTCTGCTGGGACCTCATTAATATAATGGCAAAAAAAAACAAAAACAAAAACGCTAGCAGGAGGCACAGAATCACTAATGAGTTGTGAAGATAGGGTGCTCCTGCACTTCATCCTCAGTGGATTTCTGTAGGTTCCATGGATGTCTGATGTGAATCCCAGGGAGAGAAACTCCCCACCATGCACCCAGGTCTGACACATTCAGCTACTCTTAGCCTTGGATACAGGTTATCATGTCTGGCAGGCAAAATGCACTGGGGACTCCAGGATCTTCTTGCATCACATCAGATATGAGATAATGTTTCCAAACCAGCATGGCTGTGCTGGGTTTTAACTTCAAGGACCTGTGTGGCTGCAATACAGGCTGGGGCCCATATCTAGCCATGGTGACTAGCAACAGACACATGGACTAAGGGTCCCAGCTTAAGAATACATACTGTGATCTTTGATGGCTTCACTGAGTTCCATGCATTTCCTCTTTCTCACGTTGCATCTTGGGAATCAAGATACTGTCTTGTTCCTATGCCATTCAGATGTAGAAATTCACCTGTTTCTCTACCTACAGAGACTTCTGGGAAGGCGTCATCCACACCCTCCTTCCTCACTGAGAAAGAACAGCAGTTGAACAAGATGGAAAAACTGACCCTTCAGCTAAAGATGATGACATATGAGAGGGATGAACTGAGTGTAATCCTGGCCCATTACACCAGCAATGATTGTAACAACAGGTATTCATCATGGCCCATTCTCTGGTGACTGTCTTGACTCTCCTATGCCACCTCCAGCATTCCTCAGGCCACTGGAGGCTGCACCTCCAAGGTGTCCTCCTGCCCAACCAGTTTTTCAAAGTGAATCTGAGAGGCAGAACTGAAACCTGGGCAGGAGTGTGATGGAGACACAGGCTGTTCTGCTTCTCCAAAAGAAAAGCAGAGCCCAAGGCCTGAGTAACATTCTATGGATAGGGACAGTAGTGTGTGCACTCATATGTATTTCAAGAATCCTACACAGGTATTGGCTTGTTGGAGATAGTGGGTGCTGTGAGATTGTGGTGAATTTGACCAGGTGATTTTTTTCTATTTTGAAGACAAGGTTTCTCTGTATAGATTTGTTCACCAGGCTTTCCTCAAACTCACAGAGATATGCCTGTCTCTGCCTCCAGATTGCTAGGATTAAAGACCTGTGCCACAGGTAACTAGGTGATTATTTTTTTGCTGGTGGCTCTGGGAGCATCTTGAATGGCCTGGTCCTACTTGGCCCATCTCATTGTGTGACTGGAAGGCCTGGAGCTTATCCTGGCTCCTTTCTGATCGTGTTACTTGTGGCTAGACAAGGCCATCTACCTGCATTCTTGTGTATGGGTTTATGAGTGTGAAGGGCTCTCTGACACGCCCAGTCACTGCAAATATGGCTGTGGCAGGTTTTGCACTGTTCACTTTCCTCTACCCCCATAAACCATTAGATTTCATTCCTGAATTTGTCCCCAAGATCCATTCCCCTATTTGGCGGTTGACTCATTCCTGAGACTAAACACCAAGGTCCAGCAATCAGAAATCATCATTTGACTAGACCGACTAAACTGTCCAATTAGGTTTTGCCAATTCACGTTGACACGGACTTCCCCTCTTCTTGAAAACACACTGCTGAAAGAAAGAAAAAAAAAGAAAACACCTGCATGCTATGTGCTCTTGGGTTATCCAGAGTCAGCCCCCCAGCCCTCTGAGGTAGTAAATCTCCTTTGTGTTTATTTGTACTATGGTGTCTGATATGTTCCCTACTGGTTCTGAGGTGCTCCCTTTGTGTGTGTGTGTGTGTGTGTGTGTGTGTGTGTGTGTCCCTCCAGATCTTGTGATTGGCCTGTCTCAGAAATTTCAGGTGATGTATGTGCTGAGGCCAAGGAACTCCGCTGTGAGCATCAGTACTCTCAGTCTTCTTGCTCACCTTGGTCACTCACTGGAATCCTTTGGCAGTTTATGAAGACATCCTGATGCAGTTTCCTCCACAGAAATCCTGATTAAGAGTTCTCTGCATCCTTCTCATAATAGGAACATAGGATAAACAATCCATGTTCTGAACACAAGAGACATGTATCACAGGTTTCAGATAGGCCCATACCTGTGGCACAGACTCCGGGAACTTCTTAGACAGTCAGTCTCTCCCCTCAGGCCTACTAAGGGAGCCCATGCAGTCCTGTCTCCTCCCTCTTGCCACCCTTCCTTTCTGGCCCTAGCGAGTCTGATATAAGTCAGGATGTAACACTACATAGGATTCAGAATGTGGCATTCAGTGGAATAGGGTAGTCCACATACAGCCTTAACACATGATTCCTTAAGCCTTTGCTCATGGGTTCTTTACTCCTGGGGCCATGCCCTACACAGGCCAAATTCTGACCTTGAGATGCTGAAAATGGAGCATCAGAAAGAGATGTCAGATCTGAAGAAATACCCCAAGGAAATTAGCGAGGCCTTGTACAAGTGCATGGTACTGACGGAGAAGACCAACTCCTACTGGTGAGTGTCTGATTTGGACGGGACCCCAACACATGGGAAGGACAGTTTCTGCCCTTCTTTGTCTTTGAACGAAAGTAGCTGCTTTGGTTCTCGACTGTTTACCTCTAAGCAAGAAGCCTGTCTTACAGCTCTTGGATGTGCCTTCCAGACAGAGTTTCCCATCCTGACATTGTTCTGTCAGTCTCCATAGCTTCTAGATACAAACACATTTTGTACCATGAATGGTTTCTGGGGTCCTGGCATGGCCTTACAAAGCCTGTTTCTATCGGACACATGGGTGAAATGTACTGCCATTGAGTCCTCTGTCCTCCTTTGGAGTGTGTTTGCCCTCTACCTGATGATGTTTTCCCAGTATTCCAAATTTAAATGCAGATGGGGGGTCCAATTTCAAAGGTACAGGGATCCTTTTGGTGTCAGGGTGTTCAGGAGTTGTTTGAAGCTTTCTGAAATTTGGCTGTTCTCTGACTTTGGTCAGCACCTGGGTGATACTGGCATGTCTAATGCTGGCTCCGGCCTATGGCTGTCTGAGTACCTGGGCCCTTGAAGGGATGCTGGTGTTAGGAGGGAGGTGGAGCAGATGGAAGTTTACTGGAGCTCATCATATTTGTGATGTTTAAGCACCCTTCACAGCCAGCTTCTGAGTGAATGGGCACAGTTGAAGGAAAAAGTCTACATGTTGAAAGAAGACAATAGGAAGCTGAAGGGGGAGCAGATTTTGCTGCAGGAGTCCTGTGAGGAGGCAAAAAAGCTCTGTGAAGAGACCCATGAGAAGATCTATGGCCTCTGGACCATGCAGCAGCAGGTAGGCAGGGGCAGCAGAGGCAAGCTGCCCATCTGTCTGTCTAACCAGACACATACATATACACATATCCATGTACCCAACCACTTACTTGTCCAATTGACCACCTACTTCCCATCCAACTGTCATTTCTGTGATCAGTCACAACTCTTTCTGTGGAGTTAGCCTCTTGGAAGACACAGCATGATTGGCAAACACACTCTTCTAATATAATAGAAGGTGAAGTTCAGTGATACAGTTGGGTAAATCACATGTAACACACATACATGTCAGTCCGGTAGGAAGGGTGCTATGCAGGAACCACAGAGTGATTATCACAGAGCTATGAGTGAGTGAGGTCTAGGGCCTGTGGCTCATTTCCTTGGCAAAACAAAAATTTCTGTTCTGTCTAAGCTGGCTAGCCACAGCTCTTTGGGTCTCCTGTCTCTGCACAAGGAGTGCCTCCTGTCATTTTCTGTCTCATCTATTTGATGAATGGCTAATTAGATCAGAAGGAGAAAAGACTTGGTGGTTTCTCTAAATTTCTACACATTTTTATGACTTTGGTATCAATGTGTTTTGTGATAACAAAACTAAACAGAAGTGCCATGCTATAAATAAAAGTATGCTTTTCTTCCTTTTACTGCACAGAGGTGACTTCCCAGAAAATGCCTGGTCTGTCTCATCAGCATCACAGCATAGAACCCATGGAGCATGGCAGTGCATCTCTATGCTGACTTTTTGATGGTCACTTTGTCATGTACATTGCTTTGTCTTAGCACAGATTCCACATCACAGTTGTACAGAGGGCTGCTTTTCAGATACACAATGTGAACTAATTGCCCCCTACTAACTGACCTGTGTCTATTTTCACACTATATGCACTGTATTATGATCAAAAGTTATTGGGTAATGACCATAGGTCACTTCCATTCTCTGGTGCTATCAAGGACTTCTGTGGAGGAACCTGGTAAGCTTACTTAGGAAACTATGGTGGGTCCACTTGGAGCTATCTGGAGGCTTCATTTCCAACCCACTTCCTTAGCACTTGGTGGTTTGTGGCCAAGTTCACTTGTGCAGGGTTTGTCACTTAATTGTAGGATCAGTGAGTCTTGGGATGAAAAACTTTCCTGGAAGTGGATAGAAGTTCAGGCCACCCTTGCTGAGCCTAAGAGCCTTGGATTGAGCACAGAGGACCCACTACGTCTTCATACAACAGAAATGGTGCTGCAACTATCTTGTCCACTCCCTTGTTTTCTGTATATAGGAATGGTGCCTGCCTTTGTGCGTACATACATGTGTGTGTGTGTGCGTGCATGCTGTGTGTGTGTGTGTTAGTTTCATGTGTATTTTGTGCTTGTGAGAATACAAGTTTGAGTTTATATATGGAGGTTCACTCACTCATGGAACAATGGAACATCTCTAAGGATGATGGAGACCAATGTTAATGAGAAGGAATGTGCCTTTTCTGATTAGTATTAATTCACATCAGTCCTAGAGCACATGGAGCTGGCCATCTTTCTGCATGTCCACACAGCTAAACAGAACAAAGGACCATAAACTGATTCTTACTAAAGATTTTCAGGGTTTTATAGAGGCATAAATATTCATCTGCAAAGAAATTCTTTAGGAAAAAATCAGAGTAATGTGGTACATAAAGGCAAGAAAAAGGCTACTGAGGTGAATCATGGTGCCTGAGAGGCAGGAAAGCCTGGCTGATGTTTGGTGTCCTCTGCTTGGGGTGAATGGTGACTGTTCACTGGTGATGTCCCTGCCTCCTGTTTTGTTCTCCTCATTGCCTGCTGACATTTTCCTTTCACCTTTGTCAAACCTTGGTTCAACTAACCTTGTCCTTGGAGCCTGGCCTGGGTTTAATTCTCTGAGAAATTATGAACTGCAAAGGTGCTTGTGGCTGCGTCTTAGTCCAACAGATGTCCTATTGCCATGCTGAGGTGTGAGAACTGGCAGTCTCAGTTAGGCTATAGCACTCACTGCATGTTGTGTCTGCAGCACTCAAACTGCTTTTCTTCCAAACTTCTTCATACTGAGTTGAAATTGGCCTGAATGGGGGATTGTAAGAAATGAGGACCCTCAGACATTGCTAGTGTAGCATGTGTAGCCCTGTGAAAAGCTATGTATGATTTTCCAGAAAGTTGAACTGCAGTGGCCAGGTCACACAGTGATCCCAGGCAAGAATTAGGTGCCCACAGACATGCCTGGGGACAACAGGGTTATAGCAATATTCCTCAGAACATCCCCAAACCAGAAACTATTCAAATGTGCATCATTGAAAAATAAAAACACACAACGTGGTCAAGAACTTCCATGGAACATTGTTAAGCATGAAGTAATACACACTCTCATTTGGTCACAAGCTAGTCAGCCTTCTGTTACTTAAGGAAACCCCTGACATAATCATCTTCTGGGAGGAATGGTTTATTTTGACTCCTGGGTTTAGAGATTTTCTAGTTTTCTGAGTTCATTGCTTGAGCTCATTGTGCCTAAACTGAGACAGCCTGAGGTTTAGAGAGCTCTTTTGGAAGAAACTGCCCTCCTTGGAGCCACTTGGAAGCACTGAGTGCACCCGCATGTAATGGTCTTGTGCTGTGGAACTAAGTTTTTAAAGCACAGAAGAGAGAAATTGCTATGCAAGCTTGATAACGGGTCAAGGAACCCTGGTGTAGAACATTTTGTGCATTGGGTTTACAAGGCAGGCACTACGTGGAGTGATCTGCCCACTGGGTTCTTCTCCCAGGTTACATGCATGCAGCACACAGACAAACAGGCAGACAAAACACCCAAACATATAAAGTAAAAGTAAAGTGAAAAATTACCAACAAAGTGAGGAGCAAAAGTACAATCCTCACCGGTAACACTACATCCTTATGCTCAGATTATTCTATGTTTATGGGTAGAGAGGTTGTGGACTGATGAAACTAAGTCTCTCCTTTATAGTACCCCAGAAGATCTCATCTTACATCAGCGTGTCTAGGAACTAAACGTGTACACAATGCAGTGTGCTTGTTTGAGTCCATCCATGCACTCGTTTTTGTCCAAGAGTGTGGTGCTTGTGTGTGTGTTTTGCACGCACTTGCATACACACATTTGTACCTGGGTGCAGAAAACCCTGGCCTAACAACACACTCTTCTAATGAACAGGAACATCAAAGACTTGAGGAAAATCTTCAGTCCCTGCTGAAGCAGAAGGAACTCATTACCCAGCAAAAGGACTTGGCAGTAAAGCTGCAACATCACTTCACTGAGTCTCAGATGAGGTAGGAGCCCAGGCTGGCAGAAGCGGGTGGAGTCAAGTGGGTCCCCTGTACCTGGGTTTCTGTTCATTTGCCCAGACTCCCAGCCACATCCAGGAAAAGAATTCCTCAGAGTATCCTGCTGGCAAAGGGAATAGGAAATTCTGTCTAGGAAACAACACTCTTGATCCTTAGTCTTATTGGGATATCTCCCTCTTCCTTTCTGAGTTTTCTAGTATGGTCTGAGTATCAATCCTTAGGTTAGATCTCCCCACAAATATTCCCATGGTATCCTCAAACCTTGGGGTTTGTCCATTGTGAAGGACAGTGCGTCCTCCACCTCTTTATTTTCCTTCAGGAACATCTCCTTTAGAGATAAGCTTCTGTCCACTCCTGCTGATTACAGACTCTCTGCAGGGTTCATCAGGTTCAGGGAGAAGATTTCTCTGGTCATGAACAGATTTGGAGATGGCAAATTAATCCCATGCAGTGTCTGAGCTATAGGAATAATCAGAGCCTTCTCTGCAGTGTTATGGAGGCTCCATTTGAGGGCAGGCATATTATCATTTTATAGGTCGATCACCTGGCATCTAAGCAAGGCCATGTATATATTTCCTGAACTGTGACTTAGAGAAATACTGATATTTCTACAACATAATGTTTTTGGGGTGTTGGAGAATTATGCTGTTTTTTTCTAGTCCAGCACAGTGTGTATTTTCCAGTTCCACTTCTAGCAATATTTAAAAGTTGAGATCCAGGCAGTGGTGGCACATGCCTTTAATCCCAGCACTTGGAAGGCAGAGGCAGGTGAATCTCTGTGAATTCGAGACCAATCGGGTACAAGAGCTAGTTCCAGGACAGGCTCCAAAGCTACACAGAAACCCTGTCTAGAAAAACCAAAAAAATGATGAAGAAGAACAAGAAATTGAGAAAAAAAGATCGAGCCCTGAGAATCTCTGACTCTTTTCCCTTGGGGAAGCAGGGAATGAGCACAGCTGAATGGTAATGCTGGATTGTATATCTGAGTAGAGATGGATGTAGGGGCTCAAAAGCTGACATGGTAGGTCCCCATCAGGCCTGTGTCCCAGACACCTTCCTTCCCTAGGTTTGAACACCTCCAGAAAGAACTGGAACAGAACACAGCCCAGGAGGAGAGCCTCCTGCAGACAGAGCTGCTGAAGCAGGAGCATTATGTGCCAGGCAAGTGAGCCTCCATTGAGCCCCATTCCCAGCAACCAGGGACTCGTGGGGTGGGTTTCCTCCCTTAACTTTTGTTTACTTGGGGTGAATAGGCCCTGATTTGTTGCTCTCCAGTGGCTCAGAAAGATTGTTTCTATGTCTGACTTCCATTCTTCTCTGACAGCACCTCTTAAGAGAACTGAGAAGACTAGAGGAAGTCAGAGACACCTTGAAGGCATGACATTCTACACTCTAGGATCAAGGCCTCCTCAGAAAAGGCCACCTCCTTGCAGCTGTGAAGCCACCAGTGAGCCAAATATCAACCTACCATCAGAGGATCCAACCCCAATCTGATCCACATCTGTTGGCTCACTATTTCCAGAGAAAGGATTGCATCAGATACGAGCTTGAAACACAGAGGACACACCACGAATTACTCAGAACCTGTCAGCAAGTGACCACCTTGTGGGACAAAACAACATGGAGGAAGACATGGGGGTGAGCAAGAGTTATTGTGTGAGCTTTATGTGATGGCTTTGGCAAGCTGACTCCAACTGTGATGGAAGATCTGGCTTGGAAGACTGTGTTAATGTCACACTGCTCTGCAGACAGACTGCATCGAGTACAACATTCTCTCTCTAGTGCAGTGCTGACGCTGACTCCACACCATGTACAAGTGTTGCTGAAGATAATTTACATCAGAGACTAATCCAGCTCCTCATGCCTCATGTTGTTCACCTTTTTTTCCATAAAGTTCCAAAGGAAACTGGGAACTTTGCTTAATTTTTTGTTTATATTTTGGGATATTTGTGCTTTAGTTCTTTTGGTTCTCTTCATTTTGCTTTAATGGTTTGTTGTTTTTTGTTATTTCTTTTATTTGTTTCATTGTTTTAATAGTTTGCTAAGGTTATATATTGTATGTAATGACTACCGTTTTAAAGTCCCCCATTGAATAAAATGAATGTATTTTATGAATAGAAAGCAATTTCTAATTTCCCACTTTTTTCCTTTTTATAATTGATTTATTTTTTTACATTCCATTCCCAGTTCCCCCTCCCTCCTCTCCTCCTGCACCCCCTATACTCTTCCACCTCCCCTCTGCCCCTGAGGGAGGGTGAGACCTCCTCTAGGAAGTATACTATAACTTTTCACTCTTCAGTCTCTTTTTTAGTCATGTGAGGGGTCACACTTCTATCAACACAGAACTCAAAGGCAAGTTCCAGGCCTTGCCATGGGTCTAAGGGCTACACAGGAAGGTGGCACCTTGGATATGGATGGTGTGGCCTACTCCATGGATACCCACTACATAATTATGGTTTGAAAGTGGCTATCTATAATAAAATGTGATTATTTTAAAGACCATTTGAATGGCACCATCTGGTTGTTTTGTTTCTGGTTGATATTTTTATGTCAATGTTGAAATGTTGAAAGCCTTATTGCTCTAGTGCAGGCTAAATAAGAGTACAAAGTGCCCCCGAATCAGAAAGGCTTGGACTCAGCCAGCACCACCAGTACCTGAACAAACTGGGGCAAATTATGCCTAAGGAATGCATTTGCAAAACTAGAGTTCTGCACCATTGACACAAATATTTTCAGATTTAGCATAACAATTACCTCTCTCTCTCTCTCTCTCTCTTGTTTTTGAGACAGAGTTTCTCTGTGCCACCCTGGCTGTCCTGGAACTAATTCTTTCTGTAGACCAGGCTGGCCTCAAACTGACTCACAGACATCTGCCTGCCTCTTCCTCCTGAGTGCTGGGATTAAAGTCATGTGCCACCACCATCTGGCTTATCATTACTTCCCAGTGCCAACTTTCATATTCAATTTAAACCTACCTATAATGGTGAAAAATTTCAAATGATTTAATATTGTTTATGTCAAATATGAGAAGAAAGTCATCCCCAGTCCTCGTGTACTGGTCGCTCATCACACTGCACTTCTCTTGACCTGCTGTATTGGCAATTTTCAAGAGACATGATTCTCTATTAATTTTTATTTATTTCCTGTAGGAATGCAGTAAAGGTAGGAACAGGTATTACAGTGCATCTTTTAAATGGTGGACATATGTAGACAGAAGTTTCTGTCCAACCTGGTCCCACAGCTATTTAATCCCAAATAAATACACTGAGGCTTATAATAATTATAAAATATTTGGCCAATGGCTTAGGCTCTTTACTGGCTAGCTCGCTCTTAATAATTAACCCATTTCTATTAATCTGTGTTTCTCCACATGATCTTGGTTTACTGGTGATGCCCATACCTCTTGCTCCCTCAGCAGTTACATGAAGTCTCTCCAAGACTCCCCTCTGGGCTCCTCCTCCCAGAATTATCCTAGTCCGATAGCCCTGCCTATACTTCTTGCCTGGCTATGTCCTGACTGTCCATTAGCCAAAACAGCTTTATTCATGAACCAATAAGAGAAACATACAAAAGGACATATACAACTCACCAACAGATGATCCCATCCAAAATAGGCAGAGAACTTCAGATAATCTCAAAAGCAGGCCAATAAGCACTTGAAGAGATTATTAGAGTAATAAAAATAAAAGCCATGATGTAGCAGTTATCACCCATTAGGATGGCTATTAGCAAGCACCTTTGGGAGCAGAGACAGGAAGATTTCTGTCAGTTCAAGGACAGCATGCTCTACACAGCAAATTCTGGGGTAGCCAAGTCAACATAATGAGACCCTGTCAGTATAAGGAGATTTTTTTCTGTTTATCTCAGTCACTGGACCTGTTTTTGTCTCCACCCACTAGGTCCCACAGCCTCTTAACAAAATACCTACTCTGAAGTTTAATATCAGTTGCAATCATTTAGTTAATGACTGAGGCTTCTTACAGGCTAGCTTTGTTTTATTAAGAGTTTCTTATTAAGGGTTCTATTAATCTGTGTTTCTCCATTTGGCCTTTGCTTATGGGTGATAAAATGGACTAAATATTGTAACTGTAGTTCTTGCTTGATAACTGTTTTTGTTATATATAATTTTATTATGTTAAAGTTAAAACCTTCCTTTTTATTTAAACAGAAAAGAGGAGATGATGGGGAATGTTCTTCAGTATGCTGCAAATATTTGTTTCTCTTATTGGTTTAATAAGATGCTGGTTGGCCAGTAGCCAGGCAGGAAGTATAGGTGGGGTTACCAGACTAGGAGAATGCTGGGAAAAGGAAAGCAGGGGGAGCTGTTAGGGGGTCACCATGTAGCCACCAAAGGAGTAGCATTCCAGAGCATTGCAGGTAAGCCACAGCCTCATGGCAATACATAGTTTATTAGAAATGGGTTAATTAAGAGAGCGCTAGACAATAAGAAGCCTGAGCCATCAGCCAAACAGTTTATAATTAGTATAAGCTTCTGTGTGTTTATTTGGGATTAAATGGGGCTGCAGGACCATGAGGGACAGAAACTCCGTCTTCAGAATCTGGTCACAACAGATGATGATTAAACAGCATTAAATTCCTACCAGAGATAAGAAAAGAGATGCAAATTAGCAGAGCCTTTTTAGCCTTTGTGAATGTGATTCCAAGACTCACATTTATAGGGTTATACAAGAAACTGGAAGATATGTATTATTGTCTACATATGATGTCATCAGCAAAAGTTGTTATATATGGTGACACTAATTCTCTTCTAGCTTTGAAATTTCTAATTTTGAAAAATACAGACACACAGAAATCCTGGGACACTAACTCACAATTGGATGATATCACAAGTAATAAAATATCATCTCTGACTCAGTCTGTGGGAATTTTTCATTTTCACACAGCCATAGAAAATTTTGTAGACTTAAAACTCTTGCTCATACTTTGAAGGTTTGTGAATATCTAGAACATATGTCCTTTGGAATACTGGGTGGCTGAATCTTAATAGTTTAGTCTCTCATTCTTCCTATAGCACACTGAAAAACGGTACATCCAACAACTCACTGGAATGGCTAAGTGGTCACAGTTTTGATGTGGCCATGAGTATTCAAGTTACAATGTGTCCGGTGCTGGGTATGCACTGTAGCACTCCCTCCAGGAGACGCTTCTTCAGCAATGTAGTGCCTGCCAGGGCAAATTAAGCAAAGACAACAGACAACACACCAATCTGTGGAAGGTACAGTGTCCCGCAACAGCTACTACTTACTTTCATCCTTTAAAACCTTGAATGACGGCACAGTGACCAATGGGAGCATGAACAAAATGTTCTCAAGAACATTTTCATTACCTAGGCAGTAAATACAGGTGTGGATATACACTATCAACAAATAAAGATTGTCTAGACAAAAATTTGTGAATTGATAATGATTTTTTGCTAGATAAACTCAATGTCATGTCCAATCCCTTGCAATGTTTGGAAATAAACAAAATATTTCCTCCTGTAACTATGATTAGAAGCAACTTTACTCTTTGCATGCCCATCAAAGACTTCTGTATTACAGATAGTTTACAAATGTGCTCTGAAGGAATTCTTCATACTACCTCAGCCTTAGAGCCTCACATTTATAGTTGATGAACTAGAATACACAAGCAGGTTGTGAGAGTATCTCACAAATATACTTATTTAGTATTATGTTTGGTAAATATTCATTTGTTAGTTTCTCCCAAGACAAGCAGTTTTTTTAAATAAAATGATATCTGTAACTCCATTTTTTTACCATCAACAAATCTGCATTTAAAGGAGGTAATAAAAATGGTCATTTTTCATATCAATTCTTTGTTGTTAATCATTCATTCTCATTCATAAATTTTCAGCAAATCATGAAGGGTATACAATTTCCTAATCCCATTGGAAAGCCTCTGAATATAAATCATAAAGAAAATATAGGCGCAGAGTATCTGACTTTCCATATTTTTAATTTTACACAAAGCTCTTTACTGAACTTGAAAATAGGACAATTTCCCCCATATTTTCAGCAGTGTGCACAGCTACATTTACCTGGAGACACGCTAAAGGGACCCACAGGGAGTATCCAGGGCAGTCATCCATAAAAGTAATGATTTACACTAGACATATGTAACCACAATCCTATGGTGCAGTGTGTTTCTCCTGGGGCGTGTAAAGTTCAATATGTTGCTTTTAAATATTCATTTTCCAGTTCCAATTTTCCCGAATCCCTTTGTATTTAGCAGGTCATGTATTATTATTATTTTTAGAAATATTTATATATGTAACTTCTTAATATACCATGGAAATGATCATTTGATACAATCCTAAGTATAGAAAAAGTCAGTGGCTAACATGCTAAATAGAATGGTATTGAAAACAGTGTTTAAAAAATCTTGCAAATACATGGGTTATTCTCTTCAGATCCTGAACTGTGCACAGTGTGTCCTGTAGTCCTGGTTTCAGGAACTCTCCTCAGGAAGGAAAGGCTGGCTGCTGCCTTCATGGCTCCCAGAGTCCAGAGAATGAGATTCTAATGGAACATGAGTGAATGCCACGGGAGACAGCCCTCACATTGTTTCTCCTGCTGCTCATGTCCAATGTTCAAGAGGCTGGCAGAGAAATGAAGCTACCAAATCTTTTATATCTCAACTTGCGCATTAAATTTGTGTGATCAATAATTTTATCCCTGGAACAAAAGCATCACCATTCTTAAACTCTATTTTATTTATCAATTCACAAGCATAGTAGATAGTGCTTTCTCAAGAAAAAAATCAAATATATTTTTATTTAAATTGACCATTTCAGGCTGGGTGGTGGCACACACCTTTAATCCCAGCATTTGGTAGGCAGAGGCAGGTAGATCTATGTGAGTTTGAAGCCAGCCTGGTCAACAGAGTGAGTGCGAGGACAACTCCAAAGCTACACAGAGAAACCCTGTCTTGAAAAACAAAAAGAAATAAAGAAATTGACTTTTTTCATTTAATAGATTATGGTTTCCCTCTATTACCATTTCCTTTTAGATCCTCCCCATCTCCCCAGTGAAATAAGCTTCCATCCATTCCCTCTCTCCCT